GGTATCATAACAAAAGTTATAAACTACTGAATATATTCCTCCTATTTGTATAGAAATATGAAGTATAACTCTGAGGTCCTTTTGTAATTATGCAAAATGTGGGCCATTAATGGTGGTTTAAAATCTTGATGGCTCCTATTGACTAGGACAATTGGTTGTAGATGGTTTATTTACCTGCAAGCCTTCCTGTGTACTTGTGGGCCAGCCTGTGGATAATGAAGAATGAGGTCTCAGAGGACGTGTGCCCATGTCACATGATGCTGGAATTCATTGTAAATCTGGTACTTTTCTATTTAGAAGGAGGGATGGGGACCCAGAGAGACAAAAGATTCCCGCCTTGTACCAAAGCTATATAAAGGGGTGGAGCAGGACAGAGGGGGCTGCCAGTCATGAGAAAGCCCCTGGTTTCCACCTAAGATGTCTGCTGGAACTAACAAGGACTGTACCAGGGCAAAGGATTGGGCCCAGACTAGGGAGGAGTCTAGTCTGTGAAAGAAGCTTATTGGAACATCTTTGAGGGTGAGATTTTACCTGTAATCAGTTTCTTAATGTATTAGGCTTAGATTTGCGTGTTTTTGGTTTATTTTTCTGGGTGACTTACTTTCTTCTGTCTGTTATTACTTGAAACCCCTTAAATCCTACTTTTTATACTTAATAAAATCACTTTTGTTTATTAATGAACCCAGAGTAAGTGATTAATACCTGGGGGAGCAAACAGCTGTGCATATCTCTCTATCAGTGATATAGAGGGTGAACAATACATGAGTTTACCCTCTATACGCTTTATACAGAATAAAATGGATTTATTTGGGTCTGGATCCCATTGGGAAATGGGTGTCTGGGTGCCAGAGACAGGTGACCTGCTGAGCAGTTTTTGGTTAAAGTCTGCAGCTTTCGGGGTGTGGACCAGACCCGGGTCTGTGTTGCAGCAGACTAGCGTGTCTGACTCAACAAGGCAGGGTTCTGGAGTTCCAAGCTGGCAGGGAAAATGGGCTCAGAGGTAATTTCAGATCATCAAGTGGCAGTCCCAAGGGGGACGGTCCCCTCTGTGACTGAGCCCATCACACACGTCATTGGTGACTTTTAAGAACAAGTTAGACAAACATATATCTGGGATGGACTAGGTATACTTAAACCTGTCTTGGTGTGGGGAGATGGATTAGCTGACTTCATGAGATTCCTTCCAGTCCTCCATTTCTATTTATTCCAAGATTTTATAAGCTATTCAGGTGTGCTGATTTTTAAAAAAAGTTTTTCCCTAGTAGATACTGTTTAACATCCTCCTTAGTTACCAGGACTGCAGAGTGGTTCACCCTCTTCACATAGTATGAATATACATCCTGCTTCTATCCAAAACCAGAAATGTTTCTTGAACTCTTCTGCCTTATTTGCATTATTATAAACTATTTTACCATCTCCATTTATAATGGGTCTACACCTTTGTTAGGATTTGTTTGTTTGTTTGTCTTTGCTCCTAATATACTTTAAAAAATTCTCATTATTGATCTTAACTCTGCCAACTATTGATTTTTCCCTGATAGCTTTAGCTTCCCTTATTGATTTTCTACATCTCATAACTTCTAATGTATATTGATTGCTATTGAATTCCCCTCTTTCCATTTGTTGTAAAAAAAAATAATAATTGCTGCCTGCACTGTCCCACTGCACCAGGACGGGCTTTTGGCCAAAGTTCTAAGGCAGAGAACACCTAACTCCCTCAGGCTACTTTGTAATTTTCATCCTTCATTGGCTTTCTAGGACACATTGAGCTCCAGCTGGTTGGAGGTGACAGTGCCTGCTCAGGACGTGTGGAAGTAAGGCATGGAGACACCTGGGCTACAATATGTGATGCACACTTTGATCTCAAAACTGCCAGTGTTATCTGTAATGAACTACAGTGTGGAATAGCTGTATCTATCCCAGGAGGAGCTCATTTCAGAGAAGGACATGGACCAATGTGGAATAAGGAATTCCAGTGTGTAGGGAATGAGACACACCTTGTGTACTGTCCCAGGATATCACATGTGATTCAGACGTGCTCACATGCAAATGATGCCAGCGTCATATGCTCACGTAAGAATTTGGCTCAATGTCTCTAAAATCCCAGTGTTGTGTATTCTAGAGTAGGGTGCAGCAATAAAATGATCTCACTCTGTAGGGAGCTGGGATAATAGAGCTGCTCTCAGCTTCTAGTAAAATCTAAACAATCCAATATAATGGGAATGGTTCAATCCCCCCAACTTTCCTTTTCTTTATTATTTAATATAAAGTATCTTAAATGCTCCCTCTCAAAACCCTTTCTCCCTTCTCCCCTGGGCACACAGGGTTCCGGTTGCTGAATGGCAGCTCAGAGTGCTCAGGGAGAGTGGAGATCCAGGTTCTTGGTGCCTGGGGAACCCTCTGTGACTCACGCTGGGATTTACTGGATGCCAACGTTCTCTGTCGTCAGCTTGACTGCGGATTTGCTGTATCAGCCCCAGGAGGAGGGTACTTTGGGAAGGGAACTGGCTCTGTCTGGACAGACACATTTCACTGTAAAGGGACTGAACCCCATTTGGGCCATTGCCCTGTTACTGCCCTGGGGGCTTCTCAGTGCTCACATGACAATGATGCCAGTGTGATTTGCTCAGGTAAGTGCAGGAGAGATGCTGGATTAATGACACCTGCCCCTCAGTGTGTGACACTGTCCCCAGAGCAGGGAAACTTCAGGGAATGGCAAGGGAGGGGGAGCTAGATCCTAAACCATGTACAATAACAACTAATATATTACAAGTAAAAGTAAAATAAGTATTATCACAAAATAATAGTTATGACTAGGGAAAGCCCTGGATTTTCCAGGAAAAGCTTGAGCAAAAGTTTGTGTGTGCAGGGCAGTAAAGCAGGGACAGAATTTGTCCTTAAGAGTTTCATAAATCTCACCAACTCACTGTCCCCATCCTTTTTTAAAATCATTACTCTGGTAGTTACAGGGGGAACCACCCCCTATATGGATGTTGCTTCACACTGTCTATTATAAAATATTCTCAGCACCTTTTTCAGAAGCTCTCATGTTTTCATCGACTGTAGCAGGCCTTTGCAATTTGGCAAGGGGTCAGTGCCAGGAAAGCACCTCCCCTTCCTTCAGTGAAATTCCTTCCATTTTGGCTGAAATATAAACTGCTGAAAATAACAATTTTCTTTTTCACACGTGAGTACCCGAGGATATTTTTGGTAGCATGCCACAAAGAAAATAGTACTTTCTCTCACTGTAAAAATAAAAATAAAAAAATTCACACCTTTCCAGTTGAAAAAAGTTCAGGAGTGTTGTTCCCTGCTTTCTGATACTTTTTTCAAACTTTTTATAGTGGGAAAAACAGGGGGGAAATAACAAGGGAGAGAACGCAGGAGAATCTGTAAATTATAAAATGGAAATGGAAAACTGATTTTTTGTTTCCAGAACCTGAAATGAAACATTTTAGTTAGAATCTAAACAATAATTATCATTCCATTTCCAAAAGTCAAAATCTTGGTTCTTTTTCAAAAAAATCCAGAGAAAAAGTGAAATATTGCATTTGAAATACTTCACAGGAAAAAATTTGCGGTTTTCAACAAACTCTATTATTTACCTGATGTAAGCAGAGTCAGGATGAGCTCTACCCTGACATCTGGTGGTGAATTATGGCGAGTGTGGAAAAGAACTCCAGGGGCTGATCTT